AATCAAGAGGAAATGCTTGTTGCCTACCAACCAGATGATTACTGGCTGCACTGACTATTCAGAATACCTTCGGAAGACCCAAAACTGTAGGGAAGCAGAACTAAAGGATTTCAAGGATAGACTTTCTTCTCCACGTTCTGGTTTCTTGATGTGTAATAGATGCCGACAAATCTTTGTTCGGTGAACGTTCCTTGTCCTGGAAGGAACAAAACATGTAGGTTGTAGAGCTTTGTTCTGTCTCCCAATGTTGCTTTTGTTTGCAGATATAACAGTTGACTTTGGCTGATGTTTACGGATACCTTCAGGATCTGATGTTGACTTCAGAATAACAGACAAGCCCTTCTTTGGGCAGAGACTTCTGTTGCTCTGCCAGTTCAAATGAGGCTCCCCTTTTGTTCCAGGCAACCACAGGCTGCCTCTGCTGCCTTCTCTGGGTTAATCACAGACAAGGCCCAACTGTTTGATATGTATCCGCTGAGCGTTCAACAAAAGCCCAGACCTAAATCTCAAATAACAAGAGGAAGAAGGATGCCTCCTTATCAGCCAGTGTCTTATCAAGTGCCTTTTGGGTCTTAGAATGGACTCTGAGCAAGTACTTAATTGACTGGTACTACTGGGGGCCTTAACTGCACAATTTATAACGCATGATATTAGGAAGCCTATATTTGTTGATGAGCAGGAAGATGTACCCACAATTTTTAAAGAACCATTGAGGTGATCGCTGTCTCGGTGTGCTGGTTAGAACTTTAAGACTGCTCCCATAGGCAGCAGGTCTTATCATACGATGTGCATATAAATTTTGTGTTAGAAAAATCTCTGTTAAGAAATTAAGAAAAATCTCTGTGTCCTAAAATTCCTTATTTTGTTGGCAAAGTGTCTTGGAAAGATTCACTCCAACCCTATTATTGTCTGCCATTTTCATGTCCTGAAAATAATTATACCCTTTTACTTGAAACATTTTATATTAGCACGTCATTTTCCCAGGCCAGCTGACCCTCTCTGAGCTTGGACTTGGCTGGCAAACTAGCTGTCTGACGGTGGACCTGCTGTGGCCACATGCACATAGCCCTTCTGTGGAAGGGCCAGCAACCATCCCGTTAGAAGCAAGCCATTCTGATTGTAAATAAGAGTCACAGGTCAGGATTCTGAATGAGATTTTAGTGAACCTTAATTTCAGGAATTGTGTGAAAGTTACAGATAATGAATGATACTTGTAAAGTACCTACGATAGTGTCTAGCACTGAATTTCAGCTACTTTTATCATTTGACATTGTCCATTCTTTGGTGCGCCATATGAATTTAAGGTTTAGTCACACTGTCATTAACCTTAACAAGACATACCATTCTTCCTTTTAATTCTAGTAAGGTACAGAGTGTTTGATTTTCTTTTCTCCTTTTCATTGTGACACTCAGGAATGTGTGAGACAGGTGGTCCCAGGGAGAGTCATGAATTACCAACTTGCTTTCAGATTAAACACCTAAATCCTCCTAAATATATGATGTACAGAGGTCAGATTCTACTCTTCCCACCTTTACAAGTCATATTACCAAAAAAAGTTCTTCCTAGTTTTAAACATAAGTTATAGTCCAAGCTGGCATCCTCTCTTCCGGCCCGGTGGAGGGGAAGAGCTCAAAGTAATCCTGCCTTTATTATTTTTTTTTTTTTTATATATTTTTTTTTATTATTATTTTTTTTTATCCTCACCCGAGGATATTTTTCCATTTTTTGTACAGATAGAGTGGGAGGGAGAGAGAGGAACAGAGAGAGAGAGAAACATCGACGTGAAGGGACACATCCAGTGGCTGCCACCCGCACGACCAACCAGGGCCGGGGACAAACTGCAACCGAAGTACGTGCCCTTAGCGGGAACCGAACCCGGGTCTCTCCAGACCGCAGGCCGATGCTCTAACCGCTGAGCCAAACCGGCCAGGGCTAATCCTGCCTTTATGTGAAGAGCTGTTTTATCTTCTTTTCCACTTCCCCCTCCAACCCTCTGTCTAAGGACCTCGTTTTTAAATTTAAACTTTAATATACAGTAGTATACAGTTTTAGTTTTCTAACAGGTACCCATAGATTTACTCAGACTTCTGTTGGATCACACCAGCTGAAAATAAACTCATCATTTAATCGAATTCAAACAATAAGCACTAAGTTAAACATTTCCAATATATTCATTGGTAACCCTAATAATCAATTTTTATGAGTACCTACTCCATATGCTTATTCTCTTCTCCTTTTCAACAAGATAGTTGTTTTGATGTATTTTGTAGCTTTGTGATATTTTTCTGTATTAAACCTTTATTGGGCCATACATAGGAAACAGTTATAGGTAAATATTTTTAGGATTCAGAAGATGCCTTATAAAAGGATCAGTTCTGCCTAAGATTAGCCATGTTAGATCTCCGATTCCCCCAAACGGAAGCATTGGGTGTTGAGAAAAATACTTTAAGAAGGATATATTCTTTTCTAATAATTATTTGGTAGTACAATAACAAATTCCTTTCTGACTAGTGACTTCATGGATGTAGTGCTATAAAGTAATACACCCTTATCATTCATATTTCTGGATGGTTGAGTAAGGTAGGAACTATTTTTAATATGCAGGAGCCAATACTGAAGCTGCCGGGTCCCATGCACTGTCAGCAAAGGTTTCAACTGCCAGAATTCCTGATAAGTCCATTCAAGCAAGTGGAGTCTGGATAATACCAAACTACAAGACAACTGTTAGTGGGTGTGTACTGTCAGTGCTGCCAAACTGAATTACCATTCCCACCCAAAATAAACACCCTGAAGTTAAAGCTAAGTCATTCTTCTCTAAGGTATGCAGTGGATTTAGCTAGTGAGAAAGACAGATTGATTTGTCAAAGCAATCTAAACGACTAAATGACTGCCGACTAAAGACTGCTGTTTTTTCCAAGCCAGAGGTTGAAAAGGTCAAAGGGAAGCTTTAACACATGATAACATTGTCTTGGAATTGAGGAAGTATGAGTATGGTATTTGCTAAACAAATGGCAGACTGAATGAATGTTAGGTGAGCTTTGCTCCACTTGGAGCCACCCAGAGCACAGAATAAGGACAGCTCTTCTATCCTGACTTTACTACTGGCTTGCTGTCATCTGGAAAAGTAACTTAAACTCTTTGGACCTCAGTTTTTCCATGTATAAAATGAGACCAGCTCAGAGAGTAAATAGTGGATCTTGGTTAAAATGATCATTTCTTGAGAAAAAACTACTAAACATTGTTTTATTAACAGTTTATGAACCCATTCATCATCTTTTTTAATGTACTAAGTGTCAAAGTTTTGCCCAGCTGGAGTGGCTCGGTTGGTTGAGTGGCATCCCATGCACCAAAAGGTTGCCATTCAATTCCCGGTCAGGGCACATACCCTGTTGCAGGTTTGATCAGTTTCTCCCCTCTCCTTTCTCCCCTCTCCCTTCTTCCTCCCTTCCTTCCTCTAAATATGTCCTTGGCTGAGAACTAAAAAAAAAAAAAGGTCACAGTTTTTCAGGTACAGTAAAAATTAAGTAAGGAAGTGAATCTTGAATTAGAACTGTCAAAAGAACCAGAGTCACAGAAGGTATTTTTTAAAATACAAAATCGGTTGTATCAATTCAGCAACTATCAAATTGTTAGTATATCCTTAGTTTTAAGTGTATTAGTCTTATCTCCTCAACTATTAGGTTGAATCATGAGATTGCATTTTTGTGGGTTAGAAACAGGTATCATCAGTTTCAACCTGTAGATGTGATCTCAGTGGGAACAGTGGGATGTGCTGTTTGCTCGTCCCTTGGTCCCTTTAGTTCTTGCTCTAACGCTGGGCACATTTGTTCTTTGATGGTATGGATTGAAGGTAGTATTTGGGAACAGAAAGTCTTTTTGAAATCACTTAGTGCAATATATTATTTTTAAAATGAAGAAAATAAGTCCCAAAATGTTCTTAGAATTATGGTTCTTTTGACATTCAGAATGACACTGAGACATTATAAACAAGTCTTTAATATACTTTGAATATTCTACCTACCAGTGAAAGGAACTAGTCTGATAAATTTTATGGAAGTAGTTCTTAGCCATTGAAATTGGCAAAAGGCATTGTTCTTTTACCATTTTTGTTGACAAAGATGTTAACATTTTGGGGGAAAAATATTTAATGGTTAATGCTAACAAGAAAAACTTAATCCAAAAGAACATGGTAACAATAGTTCCCGAATATAAACATGATCTGAATCTGAAGCATGATCCCCAAATACATTAATTTACTGTGTTTGATAAGCTTCAATTCTCTATAAGGATACAACCTCCACTTGTAGATTTAGTTACTGTTTATAGAAAGGTGTCATGGCTTAGCAAAATTAGAAATAGACTAAGTGCAAAGATATTTATAGGTCATGATTTTGACTAGGTCTAACACACTTCGAAACCCTGCATTTTTCGTGACTTCTCTCTGCCATTTTAATTAGAATCATCACATTTTAGAGCATCTAGTTTAATATTTGTCAGTAACAGTGTATACTGAAACCTACAATACCTCCAAATAATATTTGAGTCTAGCACCCATCTTTATAAATGAGGAAACTGAGGCCCAGTGAATTTAAGTAACATTTGGTGCCTTAGAGTTAAACCACAGAACAAGTTGGACTTGGCTATCTAGTACACAATGTCTGTTGTGCATTTCTTCTTTTAATTACAGAATCTTTGCCTCTTATGTATACTCTCTCAAAAAATGGGGTGAAAATTAAATGGTATTATCTTGGTGCTTGGAATAAAGTAGACAAGACTTTTCTTGATGATGACATGTCATGTAAATATATCTAGAAGTTGTGTCCAGATTTAAAGACCATTGAACAATTGATAAAAACTATAGGGCAAGTCTGTCACACTTTGACAAATTTGCCAGTTTTCCAAATCCTTTGAAGAAGCATCAAGTAAAGCTTTGAAACAGAGGCCTATTTGGTATATAGTCTAAGCCTTATGATTTTTATTTGGTGGTTTTTCCTGATAGAAACATGAGTTCAGCTGGCCCTGATGGGAGGAAAGGGATGAGAAGGTGTGACGGCCTGATCGACTCACTGGTCCATTACGTCAGAGGAACCATCGCAGATTACCAGCCAGATGACAAGGTGATGCAAACGTTAACGATCTTACATATTTAATTATTTTGTCTTACCAAGGCTCTACAGAGTATTCTTGAATTAGCTGTTTGGGTTTAGCTTTATTCATTAATTCATTTACTGAGCTTAAGGTTTCCCAAACATTTTTAGAAACATTAAATCTGTCAAGCCCCATTTTTGCCTATTTTCCAGACCTACATTTCCAGCTGTTCTCCAACAACTCTGTGTAGATATTTGAAAGAAGCCTAGATGCTCCATGGTCAGCAGTGAACTTAAAGTCCTCTTTTCCCTCATCCCCAAACTTCCTCCTCTTAACAGTTACCACCATCCACCAAATAAAAACAGAAATCTCACACTGCGTCCCTTCATATCCCACATCTACTGAGCAACAACTCGCGTCCATTCTGCCTGTGAAATGCCCTTTGGTTTATCACTCCTCTCTACGGCTACCTCTGCAGTCCTAGTTTGTGCAGCTTTCATACTGGTTATTGCTACTAAGTTATGTATTTAAAATACAGAATCACTCTGAGCACACTCTTTAAAAAGTAAATTATAAACGTTGTCCAGTGTTTTAAGAAATTCAGCCTCAACTCCTTAGCATTGTGCTTATGACCATCCATGATCTAGCCTTCGCCTTTCTAGCCACGCTCATTCCACTCCCCCAGGCTCCCTATAGTCCAAGCATCCAGTTAATCTTGTAAGAGCTAAAGCCTAATAAGTCCTGGGACATCACACTTGCAAAGAGACGTCTATATGTACGTGATCAGTATGTGTGTGTTTTCTCAGGCCACAGAGAACTGTGTGTGCATTCTTCACAACCTCTCCTATCAGCTGGAAGCAGAGCTCCCAGAGAAATATTCCCAGAGTATCTATCGTCAAAACCAGAATGTCCAGCCTGACAACAACAAAAGCATTGGGTGTTTTGGCAACCGAAGCAGGAAAGTAAAAGAGGTATATTGGGAGGGCTTTGGAAGAAAAATTGTTTATGTGTGCATATTTCTGAGCATTTAGTATATTGGGATTGGCAAAAGTAGGTTTGCAGTTGTGAGTACGTGAAACAGGGTTTCTTCTTGTATTATAATTTATTAATTATTGTATTATTTTCCATATGAACAACTGTAGACCTACTTTTGCCCAACTCCTAAGTCAAACATTATTCTAAGTTCTTCTCATCCTTACATTAGCCCTATAAGATGTGTAGAAAACAGAAGTACAGAAAAGTCCATCACTTTTTTCCAGAATAATTCAGCAAATTAATAGAAAGGATGAGATTCAGTTCCCGGCAGTCCGGCCTCAGATTTGCACTGTTAGCCATTAAAGCCACGCTGCTTTAAGCTCTGTAGTTTAGGCTTAATGCAACATGGCCAATGGTATATGCATTTTTTTTTTATGCTAAAAACAGCCTGATATTCAGATTTGGACATTCTAAAAACAAACGTCAGGCATCCTAAAGGTAAACCCAAAGGAAGGACTACTGTCCATGTACTGGCATTTCACAAACACTGAAAGAATGTGACCTCTTTTCCTTCTCGGAATATCGTGGTGTTTGTGAACTTGGAGAACCACTGGTAAATTTAGAGTCCTGATGTGATCCTGGACCACTTCACTAGACTCTGAGGGACGAGGCCTGTTTTTCTTATCTTCAGAGTGTTTGTGCCTAATTTAGCTTTTAGTTAAACGGCAGCCTGAAAACTATTCTAGGACAGCCTGTGCCTTGTTCTCTGAGTTCTTTCTCACTGTGAAATGTAAAGTTGGGGGTATGGGATGTTGCTAGGCAGAAATTCTCATCATGGGCTAAAAGTTAAATGATTGGAAATCATTCATATTTGCTTTTTCATTTCTATTTTATGGTTCTTACTGTATAAGTTATTAGTCTCTCTAGACTAAACAGTATCTGTAGTCTCTTGGTTTGGGTGTGGAATCGTAGAAATCACTTGAAGGCATTAATTCTCGATTTCATCCCGTGTGTGGGTAGCAATACCAGGACATGCCAATGCCCGAGGAAAAGAGCAACCCCAAGGGTGTGGAGTGGCTGTGGCACTCCATCGTGATACGGATGTATTTGTCCTTGATCGCCAAAAGCGTCCGAAGCTACACCCAGGAAGCATCTCTGGGAGCTCTCCAGAATCTCACTGCAGGAAGTGGACCGGTGAGTATCATGCCTGTTTTCCTACGTTTTAATGTAATGACATTGTAGATGCACCTGCATTAGGTTTAGAGATGAGACAGCTGAGGTAAGAACAAAACTGTTCTCTCTTCAGTTAAGATAGTCCTCAGAAGTTGCCAGAGAGTGGCAGGGTTCCAGAACTTTCCGTCTCAGCTTCTGCCAAGCCAGGTCGCTGCAAGTGAAAGACTCATAGATGCCGATACCAGTCAGAGCTCTTTCAGTTACAATTCTCAGAATCCTACCTAAACTGGCTTAAGTAGAAAAAAAAAAGATTAATTTTTTGCCTTATATAACTGAAAAGTCCAGGATGGGTCTTCCTTCTGTCATGGTGGGGTGTAGGTGCCCCCGCAATTACAATTATGGCTCTATCTCTGGGCTCTGTTTTCCTCTGTGGTTTTATTCTTTTTTTTTAAGATTTTTAAAAAAAATTTTTTTATTGATTTTAGGTAGAGGAAGAGAGATAGAAAAAAAGAGAGAGAGAGAGAGAGAAACATTGATGAGAGAGAACATTGACTGACCACCTCCTGCATGCCCCCCACTGGGGATTTGGCCCACAACCTGGGCATGTGCCCTGCCCGGGAATCCAACTGGCAACCTCTTGGTGCATGGGTCAACGCTCAACCAGTGAGCCACACCGGCTGGGCTAAAGATTTTTTTACTTCAAACAAACAAAAATCCTGCTAAATTTGACTGGCTTTAAAAATAAATAAATAATGTTTTTTAGCCCTGGCCGGTTTGGCTCAGCGGTTAGAGCGTCGGCCTGCGGTCCGGAGAGACCCGGGTTCGGTTCCCGCTAAGGGCACGTACTTTGGTTGCAGTTTGTCCCCGGCCCTGGTTGGTCGTGCGGGTGGCAGCCACTCGATGTGTCCCTTTCACGTCGATGTTTCTCACTCTCTCTCTCTTCCTCTCTCTCCCTCCCACTCTATCTGTACAAAAAATGGAAAAATGTCCTCGGGTGAGGATAAAAAAAAATTTTTTTTAAATGGCCCTGATCGGTGTTCTCAGTGGTTAGAGCGTTGGCCCACAGACCAGAGTCGCAGGTTTGATTCCGGTCAAGGACATGTACTTTGGTTGCAGTTCAGTCCCCAGCCCTGGTCAGTGTTGTGCGGGAGGCAACCAGTTGATGTGTCTCTCTCACATCGATGTTCTCTGTCTCTCTCTCGGTCTCTCTCCACCCCCACTCCTCCTCCCTGCCTCCCACTCCATCTGAAGATAAATGGAAAAATATCCTTGGGTGAGGATTTAAAAAAAAAAAAAAGATTTTTTAAATTGATTTTTAGAGAGAGAGAAACATTGATGTGATAGTGAAATATCAGTTGGCCGCTTTCTGTATGTTCCCACACCAGGAATCAAGCCCAGAACTCGGGCATGTGCCCTGACTGGGAATCGAAGCAGCCGCCTTGTGGTGCATGGGACAGTGCCCAAGCATCTGTGTCACACTGGCCAGGGCTGTTGGTTTCGTTCTTAACGGCTCTCCTCATGTTGTAGCAAAGGAGCCAATAATGATTTCAGGCTTACATTTTATCCAGCCCAAAAGAAGAGGAATTACTTTTGTCCGGTAGCTCTAGTAAGAACTCAGAGAATTAGCCCTTTCTATCTCTCATATATGCAGGGTTCCCATACATATGTATGTGTTAAATTTTAAATTTGGTTATTTTCTCTTGCTAAAAAAAAAAAACCTCAGAGAATTAGTCTCTCTCACCCATCCCTGAACCAGTACCTGTGGCCGGAAGCCTGTGGCGTTCTGATTGGCCAGGTCTGGGTAATGCGCCACATGTCATTCGAGAGGCATGGGTTTGAGTAGGAGAGGGTCACTGCCACTTGTACCACTGAAAAGGACTGAAATGGTAAAGTAGCACCTTAATGGAAAAGCAGAGTGTTATTACCAGAAGGAATAATGAATGCTGGACAGGCAAACACAACAGATGTCCACTGCAGTGTGGACTTGGAAAGGACATCTGTGCTTTTGTGTCCAAGAACTTCCACCACATAATAAAGAGGAGCTTCTCACTTTCTTTATATGAGCAGAGGAAAAATACATAAAACAGTAAAAGCTCATTCCCTTCCCCATGTATTTTGCACCTTGCTCCTCATAGTTTGGGAGTCTCTAAATATTTAACTGTTTGAACTAAAATTCTTTGCCCTGATCATTAAATGATTAAAATTAATTCCCTCAAATTAGTTCATTGTATGGCCCGGCTCCAAGTATCCATCCTCATAGGGAAAAGCATTCTTATAGATAACAAGAATATTATTTATTCTTTATTTGAGAAACTATATTCATTCTTTAATGTGTTTGCACAGAAGTTTGCTCTGTTCTGAATGAAACTGCGCAGTACCAACACCATTTATCTTAGCACTGTGGTAAAGAATGCAAACAAACTTTCAATCTGTGTGACTTTCTGCAAAATGTACTTGCGCTGAAACAGAAATGGGAAACTACCAAAGAGACCTGAGGGATATTAATTTATCATCTTCTTGTCTTCCCATGCTAAGTTTCCCAAAACCCTTCCTATCACTTCCTCAAACGATAGAAGCCCTCTTATTAACTACCAGTCAACTTGCAAGAAGATGTCAGAAATTAAATTGCACTGTGTGTGTTTGTGTATTTCAGTTTGTTATGCTCTGAGTGTGGCTCACTCTGAGTGAATCCTTTAGGCCCTGATCTTAGTCTCTTGTATTCCAAGATCGCTCATGGAATCCAAGCAACAGAGATCTATCTTCATGACTGCCCTAACTGTGCCAAGGCCTTTAAAATCATACCTAACCTTAGATGAGTCCAGTGCCCTGAAAAGAGGTCTACACTAAACTGGTATTAAGCCATACCCAAGGATGTTAGAATTGAACTTGCCTGGAGATTTATAGGAGAATCATTAGCAACTAGACAATGTGATAAGGACCCTTTTTGCTTATAAGTTATGAGATGCTTTTCATTAAAATGTTGACTTCCATGAATATCTTTTCTGATTATTTTCCTAATTTTATTATGCTTAGATGGTATGATTAAAAAATACTTGATTTTGTAATTTCTGGAAGGAATCATTGAATAGAAGAACATGAGAAGCAGGCCATTACACATAGTTCCAGAAAATATCCAGTCCAGAAACCTTGTGTTCGTAATCGAGGTAGTGCTGAGCAGTTGCTGGCCATGTGCCTTAAATGGAAAAGAACCTAAACTGAACTGAATAGCTTCCTAAAAGATGGACCACATAATTTACGTATAAAATTGTGACATAATTTCTAGTCAGTAAAACCAAAGTAATATAAACTTTATTAGCTCAGATATAATGGTCATTCTAATCATAAATAAGGAAAGAAGGTGAATCCATAAAATTTACCCAGTTAGCAAACTAACTACTATATAAATTTATAAGTACAGTATAAATTAAAGTACAGTATAAATTTAAAGTGCAATATAAAATTTAAAATTAAGGCACAAGCTTTCAATTATAAGTCCTGGGGATCTAATGTATAGTATGGTTGACTATAGTTAATAATACTGTATTGCATGTATGAAAGTTCTACTCTAAAAGAGTAGATCCTAAAAGTTCTCCTCACAAGAAGGAAAAAAATCATGCAACTATGTGTGGTGATGGATGTTAACTAAACTTATTGTGATATGTGTGGTGTGTGTGTGTGTGTGTTTGTGTACCATTATATACATATATATATATATATACACACAACATATGTACCACAGTACATATATATGTATCAAATTATTACATTGTACACCAAAAACTAATGCAATGTTGTGTCAGTTATATCTCAATAAAATAAATAAATAGGTTAAACATCACATTGTGGCCCTGGCCGGTTTGGCTCAGCAGTTAGAGCGTCGGCCTGCGGTCCTGAGAGACCCGGGTTTGGTTCCCGCTAAGGGCGCGTACCTCGGTTGCAGTTTGTCCCCGGCCCTGGTCGGTTGTGCGGGTGGCAGCTACTCGATGTGTTCCTTTCACGTCGATGTTTCTCTCTCTCTCTCTCTGTTCCTCTCTCTCCCTCCCACTCTACCTGAACAAAAAATGGAAAAATGTCCTCGGGTGAGGATAAAAAAAAACAAAAAACAAAAAAAACATCACATTGTGAAAGTTAAAAGTCATTGAAATAAACAGTTTCCAAGTTTCTAAAACACTTTAAAACCACTTAATTTGATATCTGTTGGAGGAAAAAAAAAAGTATCCCCTACCATGTCACATTCTTCCTGAAAATCAGTTTCAACAACATTTAAATGTGAAAGGTAAAACAAGAAAGCTTCTAAATGGTAACATGGAAAAATATCTTCATGACCTGGAATAGGGAAAGATTTCATAAAAGTGGACACGGCCCTGGCCGGTTTGGCTCAGTGGTTGGAGCATCAGCCCGAGGACCAATGAGTCTCGGGTTCGATTCTGGTCAAGGGCACTACTTTGTTGTGGTTCATTCCCGGCCCTTGCTGGGTGTGCAGGAGGCAACTAGTTGATGTGGCTCTATCCCATTGATGTTCCTCTCTTTACCTCCCTCCCACTCTGTCTAATGATAAATGGAAAAATATCCTCAGGTGAGGATTTAAAAAAAAGTAGACACAAAAAGCACTAATCATAAATTGACTACATTAAAATTAATAACTTATGCTGTTACGCTATCAAAAGACATTGTTAAGATAGTAAAAAGGCAAACCACAGAGTAGGAAAAGGGTGATACCTAGAAAATATTAAGCTTATCAGGTTAACAAAAAGATAGACAACCCAGGAGAAAAATGGACAAGAGACTTCTCAGGAACTTCACAGAAGATAATTTCACAGAAGTGGCTAATAATCATTTGAAAAGTGTTCAACCTCATCAGTAATCAGGACAATAGGAACTAGACGTGCCATTTGCAAACGGTCGACCAACTAATTAACAGTCATTCCCACATATTCTGTACAGCTGAAATATAAAATCTGTTTGGTAAATCTGCTTGTTTATTTTTCTTACTGAACAAATTCTAAATACCATCCCACTTC